GGGGGGGTAAGTGGCCTATTGACTAACTTGTTGTGCTTTATTAGGGTCTAGATCCCTGAGGGTGGAGCCCTTCAACACTGTCCCATCATAGAGGCACATGATGGTATAAAATCAACACACCACTAAACCCTTATCTCAAATGTCAAAGCAGACCATTTTGATTCATTACAAATATATATTATATTGTTTATGTCCTACTTTGAGGCTATTTCATTAGTTAAGGTCTTCATAGTACACAATGCCTTGCATAACACACTGAAAAAAAGTAACCTCCGAACATCTTACAACCTTGACAGCAAGGTTGGCAAGGGATAGAGGTCCATGCCTGTCAACGTATCCCTGACACTGATATGTTGCATTTATAAATACACTAGAATTACCTTTAAACCAAGACAATTCCTGACTCTCTAACACTAATTAGTAAAGTGTTGAAACTCTGCTCCAAGAAAATAGGCTATGAATAATAAAAGCAGTTTGTTGCTGTCCTTACCTGTCCACACCCTTTAACACTGAGCTGATTAAGGTGTTATTAATGTCCTACTGGTCCGTCAAGATAACTTCCACTTAAGGCTTTAGGCCATTTGAGACAATAGGAAATACAAGCAGGGGATGCTCGAAAAAACGTTGTGTGTGTGCGCACTTTTGCGTATTCACACTGCTTGGGTCTGCAATGAATGCATGCGCGTGCAGCTGGGATTATTGCATGTCAGTGGCACTATGAGTATTGTAATGGATGAGGCAGGCATGGGGTCCCCAGTGAGAGTCTCTGGGTGTATAAAAACAGCTTTTTCCTGAACACAAACAGCCGCTCCTAACACTTGGATGTACATCTACCGCAGCACCGGACACTGGACTGGGAGGAAGAGTTTTGTCTTAATTTCCAAGTTAAGTTGTGTGTTTTCTTTTCTACTGGTCTTAAATTAATGACAGGAGCTGCTTCTGTTGGTCAGAAGTGGAAGAAAGACCTGGAGTGAACAACATTTTAAAGACAAAAACGACAATTTGTTCATATTATTCATCCTGTAAACCTTCAAACTATGGATGGTAAGTGTTCATTTTCATTTCAATTGAGTTATTTAGATTAACATAATGATCATTATACACAAAGTCTGAACCCAATGTGAGCAAATGTTCAGCACACATTTCTCCTCTCCTGATAGGTCCTCATCTGTCTCGGAGCTGTGAACTATCTCTGCACTGCTGTGCAGACGGGGGGTCACTATCGTGCACCAAGACTCCCCAAGTCAGTGGGGTCAGAGTTCAGCTGGAGATGCATGCGCTTTGGCAGCAGTTTGACCAGCTGGGCACAGAGATGATTGTTACTAAAGCTGGAAGGTGACAATAACACTTATATTCCTCACTTATCCATTGTTCCCTGTCTCTGCTCTCTCTTACAACAGTATGGTAATTTACATGTTCATAAACTGCAGGAGGATGTTTCCAACATTCCAGGTGCAAATCTCCGGGATGGATCCTACTGCTGAATATGTCCTGCTCATGGACTTTATCCCCGTTGATGATAAAAGATACAGGTCAGACACACATACAGATTGAGAAATGAGAATTGTTTTGAGCTTGTTTATGTTTATTCAAGTCCATCATTGTTCATGTATAACCTTTATATCTGTGCTATTTTCCACCCTGAAAGCACACCTCACCTTCCCATACAAATTTGAAACGTGTGTGTGTGTGTGTGTGTGTGTGTGTGTGTGTGTGTGTGTGTGTGTGTGTGTGTGTGTGTGTGTGTGTGTGTGTGTGTGTGTGTGTGTGTGTGTGTGTGTGTGTGTGCCAGATATGCTTTCCACAGCTCATCTTGGTTGGTGGCAGGGCGAGCGGATGTCATAGCCCCAAGCAGGATGCATTTCCACCCAGACTCACCTGCATGTGGCGCCCAGTGGATGAAGCAGACAGTTTCCTTCGACACTCTCAAGCTCACCAACAACCTGCTGGATTACAACGGACATGTCAGTCAATGTCTTTAATGTGACTCCCACATGTTTTTACCTAGACCTTGAGCAAAGATACAAAGTACATTGTTTTGATTTCCATTGCATCACAAACAAACCAATACTCTCTTTCGTCTAGCCTGTTGTGTGTTTTTCTCCACCTTCCTCCCTGCCAGATGATACTGAACTCCATGCATCGCTATCAGCCGCGCTTCCATGTGGTGTATGTGGATCCAGCTCCCAACAGTCACTTAAATGCAAACAGGAACTTCTGCTCTTTTTCCTTCCCTGAGACACGCTTTATGGCAGTCACTGCCTATCAGAATCACCGGGTAGGAAATCTGGCACCAGTGGGATTTTCATTGTGATTTAACTAATATAACTAGCATTGGGAAATAATTAATTTTACCTTCTTTCTTTCAGATAACCCAGTTAAAAATTGCTAGCAACCCATTTGCTAAAGGCTTCAGGACTACAGACCTGCAGGACCGGTGAGTGTCATTCAATCATGTCTGTATAAGGTTTCCCTGATGAAGAAACACGTCAAACACTTCTCCGAAAAGGCCAGTTGACTAGATCAGAGTGTATCTTTATCGCTGTTATCAGTTGGAACATATTGATAAGGCAAAAGTCCCCATGATAGCTAATCTTTGACCTTTGTTTTTAAAGGGGGTTTACACATAAAAGGTTATTGGCCATGTGTGGTAAAACTGCAAGGAACATGATGGTGGTTATATAGAGGTGTGTGTACAGGCATGTCTCTGTCTACAATGCGTGTATGACTATATACATTATCTATGTGTGTATGTGTGTTTTAATGTGTGCAGGGTGGGTTTTTCCGGACCCCTAGATGTGTGGTGTCCACCAGAGGGCAGAGCTGAGTCATTCACCACCAAACCCAGAGAGCAGAGAAGCTGGGGATCCAACACTTCAACCGGTGAGTATCTCTCTGAATGTAACAGACATATTGGATGAAACAACTTAACATTATTCATCTTTTTCAGGACATTGTGTTTATTATAGTTTTGAACATAATATCACATTTGAATCCACAATTTAAACACAGGGATTGTTAAAAGGGTTCACCCAAGCAAAATTACAAATGTTTTAATAAATGTATTGAAATGTATTTTTCTAATATATTTTTAACCAAATGTATTAAGAACCTATGAAACTTTAATTTATTATTTAAATAAAGTTGTCCTCTGGTTTTGAATTTTCTGTATTTTGTTGGATTTATTTTCTGATTAGACATGACCGGTGCAGGGTTAAAGGATATATTCTTTAACAGATGCCCTCTAGTGAGTTTATCCAGAAGTGATGTGACGTTCAGCTGTATTCATCAACCTTACTGTTAAAGTTTTGTGATGCTGGAAGATTTAATAAATCTGTTCACTGTTAATACACGATAGAAAAACTTTGCTGGATACTTACCTTTCAAACTGCATTCTCCTGCACCCTCAGGAAAGGAGGACCCGGCCCCGTTGATGGTGGAGCAGTGTGGACTATTCCACCACCTTAAAGACACTGTGGGACATAACATGGAGAGTAAGGACGGGGACAGTGTATTAGCACCCACTTCTTTCCCCTCTATGCCTTCCTACTGGGACTGTCTAGGACCATCTCAAGAGAGAGACGGTCTTTTGTAGGAAAAGAGAAGCGAAACTTATTGAGCTTTGAATTTAATTCAACTTACAGCTTGCTTCTTCAGCTGATATCAATGTTAATTTGTGTTGTATTATAAATGTATGTACTTGTTTTCTGTCTCTCAAACATTTTATAGTCAACCTATGTATTAAGTCAAAACCACAATGACATGTCACCTGTTAGACACTTTTATCCAAAACAACTTACATAGATTCAATACTGTCGGCAATCCCCACAGGAGCAATTTTAGGTGAGAGGCAGTGGGAATGGAACCAGCGCTCCCTTTATCCGAAGATCACTCACTAGCCGACTGAGCCATCTATTTACATTTCCTTTCAAATGTCTATGTCCCTGTCATGGTGGAATAAATGGTCTGGAACAAGCTATTTTTATAAGAATGTTTAATATTACATTATGCTCTTGTTTATCTTACTCTATTTTACATGTATTTATATTTCTGCATTTACTTGGTCACTTGCAACATTCTCTGCAACATGTAGCTTATTGTATTCTATTTGACATTTATATATTTTACTTCTCTTGCAACATAATCTTACACTATTTTATTTTATTTCGTTAGAAAAAGTGGTGGGGACAATTTCTCTAGATTTAACATCAGCATAGTAGGAGATAAAATATGTTCCTCCCTTGGTGTTGAACCTTGAGCACCTTCATGAAAAGCCAGTGCATAGACCTCTGGACCACCAATGTGTTTTAAAAAAAATTAACAACACCCAATACAACTATAGGTCTTGCTATGGTGTGATTTGGAGTGAATTTGTACTTTTATGCACACAATGAGCACACAGGTTTGGAGGACAGAACATGAAATACGTTTTTAAAAAGTACCTTTTCAGGCTATGACTTCATCATTTCTGAACAACAGTCCATAATTTGGCTAAGAAGACGAGCTGTTGTCTTTGAGTCAGAAGGTGGTGGGTCCAAGCAGAGACAAATGACAACAAAGACATGCAGTTATCATGTTGATTTATCCTGTATTGTGCTATTTGAGGGGGACTTGTCAGAAAAAGTGAAATAAAATATTATAGCAACTCAAAGATATTGTTAAACACACATGCACAACGTTCAGAGCAATTGAAAGTAATTGTTATAAATGTTGTCGTATCTTGGTTGGTGGTTTTCAGCATGGCAAAGCGTAGGTGGTGTGACAATATTTTGTGTTTGCAGCTTTAAGAAAGAAGCAAACACAAGGTACAGGACTTTTTATTTTTTCATTTTTTGTAGAGATTTTTTGTCCTGGCTAGCCATAAGGTAACGGAAAAAAAAGGTAATGTGATCGAGTCACATCAAATCAATCCCTGCACATCTGCTGTATCGCTCAGTTAAACCAGGCAGTCAATATCCAGAGCTCTGTGAGATCGTGGGTTCGAATCCCGAGCCTGGTAGAAAATGTCAGCCTATTTATTAAAAAACAAATAAAACGTTTTTTTTAAAGAATTGTATTAATGTCACATGTTATTTGTTTCATATAAATTTGATCAATACATGTTTTCACAACAGGTTTTAGAGGACATGTTATGTAAGCATTATAATTCTTAAATGGCTTGAATATGATCTTTAGCAACAATAAACAAGCTTCTGAAATGTCACATGTGTTAGCAGGGACATAACCCTAACCCTATGATCTTGGACATGTTTTATATAACACAAAATCACATGACTTGGCCCAGACCCACCAGGGGTCGACAACCCCTAGCACACGTGCCAGCATTGGCACGCGGCACCGTAACCAGTGGCACACTAGGAATAAGTGGAATAAGTGTGCAAAATATTTAAATTCTATTTTCGGATCCTGAACGAGACCGCCGCCAGCGCTTCTCCCCGTTACCTGCAGAAGGAAGCCATGCACGGCACGCAACGCAGCCCCACTCTTTTTAACTCCAGGTGACTTTCTGCCGCTTTCCTCCGTGGTGCAGTGTTGATCGTTCACCACAGAGGAAAGCACTTCACAAATTGCAGTAGGCCTACCCATAAGGAGCTGTACAAATGCCTCAGTTTTTGCGTGGCGATCTGCTCATCGAAATAATATGCTACAAAGGGGCGGACTGGCCATCTGTGTGTTGAACTTTCCTGTCGGCTCCCAGACCGTAGTCGAGGAGGGCAGCAGCAACAAGGTTCAATAACCCACTTTAGCTTATATGACTGGAGAGAGGCGAGCTCTTCTTGGGAGGCCGTTGCATTTATTTAGCTGTTCTTCTGTTTCACAAAATACATCACAGACCTCTGTTTTTCTGCTGCCTCGTTTCACTTCCAGAAACATACACACGTTCCCCCCTCACTGTCGCTCTGCCATCCACACAGACACATGCACAAGCCACACCTCTCTCTCTCTCTCTTAAAGGGACAGCGATCTCATCTCACTCTGCATGACCCTAATATCATAACATGTGTGTTCTGGAGAATCACAGAACGGACGATTGTCCTTATTATTATGCCGTTTAAACCAATTATTTCGGACGACGCCCCGTTCGTCACAACACCTGAGTTGGCTTTGGATGTAA